AGAGGGGTGGGGGAAGTCAGGTTACCCTCCGTCCGCTCCAAGCAGGGCAGAGGCGGGAGGGGCCCCCTATTCCTTCCTGCTCCATGCCTCTTCTTACAGACTCTGGAGATGAGAGTCTTCGAAGGGAGCTGGGTAGCATGGGGGTTGCTGCTGGTAAGGGCTAGGTGATGACCCGTGAAACCGCCGCACCCTCCGTGGCAAACTCACCGGGTCAACATTCTTCGGTGAGAAAAGTGGTGGCTTCTCACTGAAGCAGGACAGGATGAGGGCAGAGAGAACCAGGGCAAAGTAGATGTAGAAGGTGGTGAAGCGGAAAGGGTCTGAGATCTTGCCCTGGGTGGGAGGGTGGAGGGAAAGGGGTGTCAGAGGCTCTGGGAACGCCTGGGCCTGCAACTTCTGCCCTGGGGCATCCTCAGGGTGTCAGTTCCCCTGGGGGATTCCCTACCCAGAGGACTCTGAGAGACAGGGGAGTATCCTAAGGGGTTGCTGTCCAGTGAGGGCCTGCCCTGGGCCAGGCGTGTGCCAGTGGGCACCTACATCCCCCCCGCTGCCTGGCCCGACCACCTGCAGGGACGCATGGTCTTGTGCCCTTCCTGTGGTTGAGGGAATGAGGCTCCAAAAGGTTAAGCCACTTGCCCACATCACACAGGGTGTGAGTGCACTGTCAGGGCCTGTGGTTCTAGCCACTCTCTGTGACAGCGTCCCTGAAAGGGAGGGACAGGGAGGCACCAGACTGACCCCCCACGGGTTCCATTTCATCCCCCGACACTGCCAGCACCAAAGATCAAAAGGAAGGCCAGGAGCTGTGGAAGGTGGGCAGGAGGGCGAGGGCAAGCCCATGGGCTTCTGGGTAAGTCAGCTCTCTTCCTGCATGTCTGCCGACATGTCTGGTATTGTGTCTGGTACCTCAGACGCCAACTGACACCCACATCAGGCATAGCGCTGCATGGTGACCATGGAGGACATGGAACAGCCCCCCCTGCTCTCCAAGAGCACACGGCACTGGCAGCGTCATTGCCCCATTGTGCGTCTTACCCCGTCTCCCAGGCCCTCCCTGCTTGCACACAAAGGGGCAGCAAGTGGGGAACGGCTGACAGGCCCAGCTGCGGCAGCAGGCGGTCTCACGCCACTGCGTGATGCTGGGGCCACACGGGGAGGCCTGGGCCTTGGCTCCTTTGACCTTAAGAAGCTGGTACACCTGCGAGCACCCTGATGCTGGCTGGCTAGGAGGCCAAGGGGGTATCACGGCATGACAAGACCTTGTTGGGGGTTCCTAGCCCTGTCTCTTTCTCTATCTCTTATGAAAGAAATAAATATAAATAACTTTAAAAGAAAACATACTGAACAGAGGAAGTCCTGGGACGGGGAGGGGCCTGTGATCAGGCAGTGACCTTGAGCCCTGAGGTCACGCTCCTAGACAGGGCTGGACCTGGCAGGTGCCCGACTCCCACCTTACCTCTGCCATGGCCGTGAGGATCTTAGAGCGGAAGGGGATGACAGCACAGGCCACACACAGGAACCAGAAGGTGATGAGGACCCCCGAGGACTGCACCCCTCGCAGACGCTCATGCTGGATCAGCAGGGTGGCCTGCAGCTGTGCAAGGTGGGCAGGGAGGCCCGGTCAGAGCACACATATCTGGACCTGCCTGCCTTCCTCCCACCCCATGTGGCCAGTATTTCTGGGGTCACTCCCCTCTTCTTCCCACTCCCAAGATGTTTAGCCTTCTCCTTAGAGCCCATGGGGCCCCATCACAATTGACAGCCCACTGGAGACCTCCCCCACCCAGCTTCTAAACCCCACACTGACCATGGTGACCCCGACCACCAGGGGGGTGACAAAGAAGACTGGGGCAGGGGCCCAACCGTGGATCAGGCCATGGAAGGAATAGAAGAGGTCCGCCCAGGAGACACACCACAGCAAGACACCCAGGACCTATAACCAAGACACTGGTTGGAGCCCCATCTCCAGAGGCAGGGACAGTCCTTGCTGGGGAGGGGCCTTTGTTCCTGAAATCACTAGAAGCCACCAGACCTGCCTGGACCTGACCCTGAGGTCTGGGAGAGGTGCTGGCCAAAAGCTTCCTGGGGGTGCAGAGTGTGGCTGAAACTGCTTGAGTTCCCCAAGCAGGGGAACTGTCTCTGCTAGCTGCAGATACGGCGGCAGGCTGCTGTGGCCCCTGAGCCACAGGCAGGTCAGGCTGAGGACCCAGTCCAGCTGCAGAGCTGGGTTGGGGAGGGGCTCATAAAAAGCAGAATCCCGCTCCCAAACAGATTAATGGATTGAAAAACTGTGGCACATATACTCTATGGAATACTATTCAGCCATAAAGAACAACAAAATTCTGGCTTCTGACAGAAAGTAGAAGAATATGGAAGATTTACTGCTGAGTGAAGCAAGCCAGGCTATGAAAGAGAGACATTGTATGTCCCCACTTAATATATACTGAGTGTCTGCACTCTATGACTGAAACTGATTGACCAAAGGATATACAAACACAATAAATGGATGTAGATACTAGATATAATGTGTGTGGAAGAGTAGGGCCTGAGGAAGGACATTTAGAAGAAAAATACGGAGGCAAAGCATTGAAGGGACAGAGGAATGTGGTATTATCTGGTGAAGATATTTTATAGTTTAATCAACAGGACTAGGGAGAAATGTTCACATACTGAAATATTCACTTTGTAGGCTAAAAAAGGTAATTGAATGTATAAAAAAATGAAGGAAAAAAAATGCAGAATCCCTCCCCCGCCAAGGTTCCAGCCCACCCACAGGAGAGTCCTGAGCCCCTGACCGTCTTAAGCTTGGAAAGGCGTGAGAGGACGATGTAGCCATGATGGTGGCGCCGCAGGTAGAGCAGGTAGCAGGGCAGGGCGACCCACAGGTAGATGCAGGGGACCCAGGCCAGCAGGGAGTTCTGGAAACAAGGTGTGAGGTCCGGGTTGTCTGTGTGCACGGAGAGATTGGAGTCCTGGAGACAGAGAAAATGAGTCAGTGCCGTGGCAGCCACCTCGAGACCTGGGCTCTCCCTTGAAGGGGATGACTGGGTTAGAGAGACACTCCACCTGGGCTGGGTAGATAGAAGACAGAGAGGAACGAGAGAGCCCAGGATGTAGCAGGTGATGCCCCAGGTATGTGCTTTCCAGGTCATGGTGGCCCCCATCCTCTCATATTTTCTCTTTCTAAATGAGGCATAATTACAGTACAATAAACTGCATCCATCGAACTTGTACAATGCGCTGCGTTTTCACAGTTGTGTACACCTGCGGACCCACTGCTGCAATCAAAATACAGACTATTTCCACCATTCTACAATTTCTCTTTGCAGAAGAACATCCTGGAGGGGCCAGCAGGTGGTGTGGTGGTTAGGGGTACTGCACTCCCATATGGCCGACCATGGTTCAAGTCCCAGACCTGGTGGCTTGCTTTCTTGCTTTCTCTCTCTCTCTCTCTTTCTCTCTGTCCTTCTCGGGTAAATTAAAATAAATAAATAAAGTTAAATAATTATTTTAAAAAGAAGAAGAAGAATGTCCTGGGTTGTTCTGCTTTCTGTCATTTTAGAGTCTCCCTTTTTAAAATTTTGGGGATTTTTGGGGACCAGCAGTTGGTGTAATGGCTATGTTGCTGGACTCCCATGTAGTCAACCACGGTTTGAGTCCCGGATTCAGTTGTTTAAACTCACACCGAGCATGCGTGTGCATGCGTGCCCAAGATCCCGAGAGAAGAATGGATTAAAGCATGGCCATCCCCCCAGGGGGTGATTTGCTTTCTGTCTCTCTCTGTCTTTTTGGCAAGCGCACCCACCCTATAGCAAAAACCTCTCAAAGAAAATTTTGTTCTTTATTTGATCAAAGTAATATATGCACACAGTTTAAGAGCCCCCTTCGTCTTTAGCCATCTCCCAGGTAAGGGCTAAGGAGCTCCGGCACCTTAGTTGCCTCTCCTTGAAAATGGGCCTGGCCACCTACCACCCTACCTACCTCACTGGGTGGGTGTGACACTCTCAGGATAGAGGAATGTGGAGAGAGACCTTTGCAAATTACAAAGTGAAGGGTGACCAGCCATCTTGGTTTGGGAGGATTGCCCTGGTTTTAGCACTAAAAGCCTGGCATCCTGGAAAACTGCTCAGTCTTGAGCAAAACAGGACGGTTGATCACTTCACGGGCACCCAGCAAGATCGTCTCCTGCTGTAACTACTGCACCTAAGAACTTTTCTGGAAGGAGATGGGGGAATGCATTTATTAACAAACACATGTTTTACTGAGAGTATTTCCTCCAAGGCCACCAAAGTACTGATCTTTTTATTTTTTCCTTCTTGCAACGCATTAGATGTTCTTTATAGAAAGCTCAGAAAACGTAAACAAGTAACAAGAACAACCACCCACAATCCCATCCACCTAGAGACAACCATTGCCTGAGGATATCAACACCTACCCTCTAATTGCCAACTTAAATGCTTGTCATTTTTATTTCTATCAGAGTTATACACACACACACACACACACACACACACACTCACACACATCCTCCAATTTTCCTCTTTCGTGTTTCTGATTTCCTGTTTCTCTTGTGGTTTGCTTTAGTTTCTATTTTTCAAGTTGAGGGTTTTTCCTCAAGTGTATGATGTCTCCAGACACCACATTGTCTGTCTTAATATTTTAGAGTGAGACACTCAGGGCAGCCCTGTAGCCTAATGGTTATGGGAAGTGGGTCCCACATACCCAATGGCATGGTTTGAATCCCAGTCCAGCAGCTTGAAAACCATGCTGGGTTGGGCCAGTAAGTGGCATAGTAGTTAAGATGCTGGACCCCACATGGCTGATCACAGTTCAAGTTCAGGACCTGGTGGCTTAAAAATCATGACAGTTGTGGGACCAGCAGTTAGCATAATGGCTCTGTCACTGAATTCCCATGTAGTCGACCGTGGTTCGAGTCCCCGACCCAGTGGTTTAAACTCATACCGGGCATGTGTGTGTGCGTGCTCAAGATCCCGAGAGGAGAATGGAGGAGAAGGGATTGCGGCGTGGCCATCCCCCCTGAGGAGTGATTTCTTGCTTTCTGTCTCTCTGTCTCTCTCTCTCTCTCTTTCTGGAGAGCACATGTGCCCTATAACAAAAACCTCCCCCCCCAAAAAAAAATCATACCAGGTGCATGTGGGTGTGTGCCCGTAATTCCAGGAGAGCAGAGGAGAAGAGATTGTGGCATGGCCATCCCCACTGGGAAGGGGGTGATTTTTCACTTTCCCTCTCAGAGTCTCTCTGCAGCGAGTGTACACACCCTATACTCCCCCCCACACACACACAAAAAAATAAAAAAACCATGCTGGATGAGCATGTGTGAGAGCATGCCTAAAATCCCAAGGGTGGAGAGATGGAGAAAAAGGAGTGCGCAGTGACTACGCCCCATTGTTGGGTGCTTTCTCCCTCTCTTGTTCTCTCTGTGTCTCTCTGGCGAGTGCACCCACCCTCTGGCAAATAAATAAATAAATAAGTCTTAGAGTGAGACACTCACGAGCTGACAGATGCCCCATGTGTTGGGGGTGGGGCTCATGCCCATTGGGCTTCCCTGTCTAGTGGTCAGCCAGGAACCTGGCCATTTAGGGAAGGCAGCTCCGGGCCCCCACGTGGTAGACTCTGGAGGTCTTTTCTCTGGGACCGATTTGAGGATGAGGAGCTGGAGACCTTTCCTTCAGAACACAGACTGTTAGCTCCACAGAATAACCCGCTGGCCGTTGGGGGAGAGGGCTAGGGGCTAGGATTTGCCTGGCTAGGCCAGGAGTTGGGGATAACCCGGGTGTCCCAGGTTGGGGATAACCTAGGAATGTGTCCTTGCACATTTTCCGGCCAGCCTCTGCTGCAGCCCTGCCCTCCCCTGCTTCTGTAGCCCTCAGTGCTGAACTTTCCCAGAATGCCAGCGAGCGGCCTCCAGTTGCAGCCATCTCCGCTCTACCATCTGTGATCTGTGACCTGTCAGCGTTTCGACACCTGCTTTCCGCCTTCCAAGGAGGTGCTGATGGCTTGTCTGCTGTGGTCTCCTCTCCTCCCCTCTCTGTTCTTGCAGGTTTACATCCTGCATTCCTTACTGAGATGTCCATGGAAGAGGAGAGACAGGGATCAGAGCCATGCTCAACCCACCCTGCAGAACCAGAAACCGCTCCAGCTGCAGACTGACCAGGTCCCTTTCAGACTTCAGGTCAGACCTCCTGCTGTCTCCGTGCAGCAGTGGGGGCTTCCCCACCCCCTTGCCCTGGCTCTCTGCTCCTGGCTGTCCCTCCCTCCTTGTGCCACCCTGTGGTTATAAGCTCAAGCCCCCCAACTTCTGCCTTTGGTCCTTGGCTCTCTCCCGCCTTTATTCACAGCTTAGACTGAGAAGCCCAAGTCCAGATCAACAGCTCAAATCACCTCCTGAGCCTCGGGCCCTCCTTCCTGCTGCCTCTCAGATGGCTTCCCCATCTGTCCTCAGCCACCTGATACCTAACACCTCTCAATCGAGCTCTTCCACTCCCTGCCAGGACAAGCCCCTCCCCTGGCCTTGCCAGCTCTGTGAAGGGCACTGCTGTTCTCCCATCACTAGTCATAGTGGCTCTTGGTGGGGGCGTGGCAGCAGGGCAGAGGGGCGTTTGAGCCTTGGCTTCAACTCTTTTCAACCTTGAGACCTTGTACAAGATGCTAACCTTTCAACTCTCTCGGCTTTGCTTTCTTCAGGGGTAACACTGGGGTGGTAATACCTGCCACCTGCTCCCTCCACCTGCCCCTCGCCATCATACTAGCCCAGGCCTTCCTTTCTTCTTGGACAATTGCCATGGGGTGCCCATCTCTTCCTTTCCAGTCCCCCGAGGACTCACATTCCTTCCCCTCCTGAGGTCATGGCACCTCAGTCTCTGTCGGGCTCCCCCTCTTGGTATTACGTGCCCCAGGGCTCAGCCCTTTCCTCTTCTCTGCCTCCCTTCCTATCTGCGCTCCCCTGGTGATCACCTCTCCCAGTCTCGTCCAAGTGTACTATCTCTTGGGTCGTTGGGAAAGTCATGATGCATTTTTGCATAGAAAAGTATAGAAAAATACGTCATGGGGAACCAGCA